AAATGTTTTGATCCCTAAAACCTCCTAAATCCTCAATAAACACTAATACAACATAGTTAATCCAAATGTAAATGATATAATGAATAAATAATTTTGAAAAAATAGTATTTTTGCAATAATTTTAAAAATATGACATTTATAATAAGTGGCACTTGAAAAATGTCAATTTTCAAAATTTCGCCAAAAGAGATATTTTCAAATATCTTGGAGCATCAAATCACTAGGTAGATAATTAACTAGCTTAAATGTATATTTTAGTTGAATATGTATATCTGCTGCCATCATATATTGTTTTGTTGAAAAAAATTATAATAATCCTGAATTTTTAAAATAATTATTTTTAAAATTTCACTAATTTCGTTTTATAAATTTTGAAAGTGAAAAAAAAAAGTTGATCGGAAAGATCGTTTATACTTATATACTCATAAGTTACCAAATATGTTTGTTTAGTTTTTATCTTTTAAAAAATTTATCTAAAATAATCCACTTTTTTATAAAAATTACTAAGATAACCTCTTTAATTTTTTATTGTCCAAATAACCTAATTCACGTTTTTTCTTTTTTATAATATCAAAAGTATCCTTATTAAATAAATAATATTAAAAAAGAGAAATTAACATGTATATTAATCTCTCCATCTATAATTAATTATCTAACACCATGTAAAATATAATGTAGTAACTAGCATTTATATTAGACTAAATTTCGGTTTTGTCTTTCTATAATTAATATAGATTTTTACAATTTAAAAAATAAAAATAAAAATTTTCTTTTTTTAAAAAACTTTTCTTTACAGAATTCTCATGACATAGCTAATTATATTGTCCATTAATAAAAATAGTTATATGTTACATAGTTAACTATATTTATACAGTAATCATGACATAGTTAACTATACTGACTATTAACAATTGATAGTTAGCTATACGTGTTACATAGTTAACTATATTTACATATCTAACATATTATCCATTAACAATAGATAATTAGCTATATGTGT